AGTAATTAATCAACCTGGGTCTAAGGACGAATCAAAGATTTTTTTTCACATTTGGATTCTACCAACTTTTACTTATTCTTGCCGCTAAGAATGTGATCTTACTCAAGGTGGAGTGATCCGCAACTTTGCGCTTTTCCCATCATCACATCAGAAGCCCCAACGGGATTCGAACCCGACTCATGAGCATCGTGGCAATGTCTATCAATCCACTACCCAGCAACGGTTGCTAGTGAGTCGTAGAGCAGATGCGAACTTCAAGTCAAGTCAAACCTCTCCAAACTACCATTTTTGCAATGGGGTTTTCGATCAAACTGGCCTGTGTGAAAATGTATAAAAGTGTACCTAAATCACGAGATTTGTGGGTATATTAAAGCCTAGTTATCAGTCCTTAAGTCACCGTAAACGATTTTGGCTGACTAAGTTCCCATTCAAGAAGCATTGATGGCCTCGAAAATGACTCCTATCGAAAAGAAATCTTTCTGACAGTTTTCGTTCGACTCAGCGTGTCGCAAGGCTGAAATGTGAACTCTGCCAAAAGCATACAGTTTCAGTTGACACCGGTTCTGCGGAAAGGGGTCCGGGAAGAAACAAAAGGAAAAAAAATAAATCATATTTTTTCCGACAACCCACCATTTTCCGGATCCAGGCATGGGTTGGCGTACGGAGAGGCGAGTCGGGCCGTGAACGGTTTCAAGGCGAGCGGACAGACGAGCGAAGAGTTGGCCATCTCGCTGAGACTGGGCACCAGTCCCTGCCAGAACCGGCAGCGCTCCTCGTTCATGCCGACTCCGGTCGACAGGTTGCTGGCGAGCACCATGTGCAATGTGCTCTGGGGCTGCGTCTCGTTGGCCGGCCGGTAGCGCGGCCAGTGAGGCAGCGACATCGGGTCGCCGAGCGGGTGTTTGTTGGGATCGCTGAACAGCAAGCCGAGGCAGACGCACGAGAGTGGCGAGAAAGCAGAGGAAAGAGTGGCAGAAGGTTAGGGAGAATGTGGGAGAAAGGGAAAGTTGAAGGAAAGTGTGGAGAAAATACAGTTTAAGGGGGGGACTGGGGGGGAAGTAGGGGCAAGTTTAAGATAAGTGTGTGAAAGGTGTGAGAAAACATGAGGAAATTGTGATAAAAGTTGGGGAAAGCCAATTAGTAGTATCGAGAGAGTGTGGGGAAAGTTGGGGTAAATGGAAGAAACTCACGGGAAAGCGGTGGAGAGTAAAGTAAAAAGGGATAAAAGTGGGAAAAAGTGTGGCGGAGTGGGGAGGGAAGTGTAGTACAAGGGGATAAAGTTTAATTATTTGATCGTGAGCAATGCTTAAACCATCTTAATACTCAAATGGGTACTAAACTTAGAATCAAGCATTGATGATTAACTTGAAAATTGGTGCTCTGTAGTGACCACATTTGAACCGCTTCTGGCGTCTGGATCCATTGCTCATACAATTTAGTACATTTTATTGCTAATTCCATCAATCTCAGCATAGTTTCTTTGCTTAACTCATCTCCTCGTCTTCGAGCGAGGAGATGATGCTAATCGTAAAACCGGCACTATCACACTCACCGGAATTTCGGTGTACATCGACACTGCATTACGTCTCACGAGCAAATCTGTTTGCTTCAACAACTAAACGAACACCGTCAAGAAAAAGAGATTAATTCACCCAATTTCGTTGAAGGTGATGAAGGACGGGTAGAAGAATTTTCCCACAAGCTGATGAGTAGAGCTGACGTTTCCATTCAATTATACGAAGCCTTGCCTTCCCGAAAGGTGTTCTTATCTCGGCTGGAATGGACTGCAGTTTCTAAATCACCTCGGTCGGGACTCGAACCGTGACAATGACCACTCGATCACACATTGCCACAAGTGCCCTTGGGTGTGAATTTCAAGGAGGACCAGGCCTTTTGCCATATCATATTCGTTTTTTGGTG